AGATCAGTTTCTAGTTTTTGCATAACTTGAACTATGGAAACACTTTGCATAGCTAAGTTGTTATTATAAAATGAATAGTTTTTCTTTCCTGAACAATAATTCACTTTATTTAGAATTAGAAACTGCTTAGGAATAAAAAATTAGTTACCTACTATTTCTTTATGTATTTATGTAAATTTACCCCTCCCTCCCTCAGTGTGTAAATTTCATCTCAACCAATTTACTCTCCTACTCACTAGTTACTCCATCAAAGTCCTTGTCTTATAAAGGTCTTCCAGAGCCTGCATGAAGTCTTGGTCTGGACTCATTTCCTTCTATGTCTTTTGCATAGCTTATCTTCTGGAATCTTCTTTATCTTTGGATGAGTCCCTTCACCACCCACCCTTGGATTCCTTACTTTAGAAAAGCCATGCTTCCCTCTTTCTTAGTTTTCCTCCTTGTTTTGGAGAAGTGCATTTCCCAATACTTTTCACAGAAAGGGTGCATTAAAATAATTAACTGAGGCAGTTTCCATGCTTTTGGTTCCTATGGAAGTAAATGAAACTCAACTCAGAGAGAACGGACACAGCCTAGGAAAACTAAAGCATAACTAACCAGGAACCACCAACTAAAGGGACTTTCCACTGTAAAACATCATGTTTTCATTGCCTTGTAGCTTTTGGTATGGCTGTTGAAAGACTCCATGCTAAGGCTTTCTAATTCCTACTTCTTTATATGAACACTGTTCTCTCCTTCCTCTCCCCTTTAATTTTCACTGGATGTTTATAGAATCTTCTTTTTGTCTCCCTGTTTTTCGATATTACAATTACATGCTTGGATGTACATCTATTTTCAGGTACCTGGTGGATCTTTTTAATCCAGTTAACTATTTCTTTCAGTTTCATTTTTAAATTTTTTTTTTAGTTATCAATGTACCTTTATTTTATTTATATGTGGTGCTAAGAATTGAACCCAGTGTTTCACACATGCTTGGCAAGCACTCTACCACTGAGCTACAACCCCAGCCCTATTTCCTTTAGTTTTGATATTTCTTTTTTTCCTGAAAAATTCTTTTGACGGTACTTCTCTTCTTCTTTTATTTCTGGAATCCTGTTATTCTGATATTAATCCTGTAATTTTCATATTCTTTCCTTCCTATTGTCCATCTCTATTTTATTATTTTATTTTCTGGAACAGTTTCTCCAATTTTGCATTTCAATCCCTGTATTAAATTGTTTATTTATGTTACACTAATTTCTAAAAGCTCTTTAACCTGCCCTCTAAATCCTCAGTTTTATAGTTTTGTGTTCTTATTTCGTGAATGTAGTGTCTTTTCTTATTTCTCTCAGAGTATTAATCAATGTTTTTTCATGTTTTTAAGTTTTATTCTATACAACTTGTTTCCTCATTTTTTTTGGGGGGGTGGGTTAAAAGTATTTGTTATGTTTCTTTCTATTTGGTGATCTCTGCTTTCTCACATTTACAGTAGAGTATTAAAACATTGCTGTTTTGAAAGATAGAAGGATACTCTTTCTGTATGTGACCTTGTTGACCACCTCTCTGGGAACTCCCGGATTGCTCATGTTCCCAACTAAAGACTCTTCCAGCACCTGCCCCAGTGATCTGACAGCTGAAGGTGAGGATGTTTGGTATTTTTATCATAACGGTGTAAACTTTCACCTCGCCCCCAGTTTTCAATTGCTCTCAAATTTGCTTGTTATCTACCTGCCCCAAAGTCATTGAAAAAAAATATGATACTATGAAACTTGAATTCAGGGCATGCTCCACGTCCTGTCATGTCTTCTTTTTTTGTTTGTTTGTTTGGGGGATTGAATTCAGGGGCATTTAACCACTGAGACACATCTCTAGTTCCCTTTATCTTTTATTCTGAGATGGGATCTTGCTGAGGGCCTCACTAAGTTGCTGAGGCTGGCTTTGAATTTGCCATTTCCTGTGGTGTCTTGTTTCGGGTCCTTCATTTCCCTCCTGTTCCTACATCTATGCTGGGAACCTTCATTATCAAATGACTAATAGTATATTGGGAATGAAATGTGTATAAAAGAGCCATGATGAAGAGTAAATACTAGCTACCAATTAATTTTCAATGAATTATTAAAATGAGTGCTCCCTTAAGTATATAGGGGGAATTTGGACACATTTCACTCCATTTTCCATAATGTAGTTTTAACCCTTTCTATTCAACTCTGATTTCTTTCTATAAAGCATATAGAATATGATTTTCCTATTTCCATAAATATAGATGCTATTCCAGAGACAATTTCTAAGAGAATGAAGTTACAAATTTTAAATACATTTATTTTTGTCATACCATGTTAAAATAAGAAAGACATAAACATAAGAGGACCAACTCTTATCATTCTAAAAGCAACTGTCTTGACTGGGAAAATTTAGACATGTGCCAAAGTAAGATGACAGTTTTCATAAAGCAAAAACTGAGGTTTGAATTTTAGTGTTACATATATAGATTATCTTCTAAGAAAATCTGTGGAAAGTATTATTCATTACAGGAAGCTGGAAAGTATAATATGTTAGAATAAGGATCACATTTTTCTCTTTGAGGTGATTTATATTTAAATGAGTTCTCCATAATCCTTTAAACTGAAGTGCAAATTGGTTATCAAAGTCTTTTGCTGTAAGGGTTGTTTTACATAATAATGAATTTCACACAAGTTCCTCAAAGGGAAATATTGATTTAGGCAACATCACAGGATATTTCAGTTACAGGAACACTTGATTAGTGCCACAAAAACCACATAAAAACTTTCCAAAATCTAAATTTCTTTACTAAGAAGTGTAGGCAGTATATATTTTCTCAGTATAAAAATATATTCATCATAGGAATTTTTAGATAGAAATGATAGATAACAATTTTATCTATCATTTCTCATCTATATTAACTTAGCAAATATTAGTGAGAATCTATTACATGCTACAGACATGGCTTGTATTTTTGTAAAAATGAGCTGATTGAAAGTTCAGGTAAAATATCTGAAATTGTTGAGATCGGAAGAGTTTCATACTATTTTAGATTTTGGAATGTTTGTATAGACTTTTACTGGTTGAAAATCCCTAATTGTAAATTCTGAAATCTGAAATGCCCAGAATTTCAAAATTTTTTGAGCATAAAATCAGTGATTAAAAAGTTTCAGATTTCAGAACATTTTGAATTTTGGAATTCAGATTTTCAAATTAGGGATGCTCATCTTGGAGTAGTAAATATTTGCTTAAATTTGTGTGTGTTGGTACTAATCCCTGATAACTCCAGTTATTAAGCCTAAAGCTCTGGTTGGTTACCGTGCTGTACAGTTTACATAAGCTACTTAATTCATTTCTCACAATGTAAGGTAGTCATACTATTCCTCATTTTATAAAAGAGAAAACTGAAATTCAGGAAGTGGTCGGTGAGAATTTAAACATTTTATTTCATGCATCCACTATACCATAATCATGACTTCTGGCTTCTTTTCATTCTTGAACCCTGTAAGGCTCACCACCAAAGAGAGCTCTGATCCTCACCTCCATGATGAGTCAAAAACCAGCTGACTCTTGTTCTCTCCAATTCAAGGGCTGGAGGTTTCAGTCAGTTCTCATAATTTAGATGCTACCTGACTAATGCACTTTAGAGAAATACTGGGACCAACCCCAGTGGAAAATGTGAAATTAAGGTAAAAATTGGAGGGCATTGGATTTGGTCACTAGACTCAGGTCTATCACTAACTAGACATGTGACTATAGAAAAGTTAATTTACCTTCCAGAGCCTTTGTTTTCTCTTCTGTGAGATGTGGAGGTGGGATTTATTAATGACTTTTAGAATCGTGTGTTTATTGATTTTTATTTATTTATTTATTATTCTAATTTGTTATATATGAAAGCAGAATGCATTCCAGTTCTTATTACACATATAGAACACAAACTCTTCCAGCAAATTAAGACTTATATGGAATATTTTTAATGTAAATTTTGTTTTATTTATATATGATGGAATCTTGATATATAAAAGCAATACAGGTAGAGTTGTGCTGGTTGGAATAAGGGTTGGACTTGGAGGAGGCATAAATTTATCACCTCCTCTTAACTCCCACCTCATCTTTAAGGAGGCCTCTGAGATATCTAATGACTTATAGAACAAGATCATCAAACCATGGACTAGCTCTTTATTATTCCTGTTTTCATAGTCTGTGATTATTCAAACATCTGTAGCCACATAAAAAGAGCATTACAATTGTATAAGAATGTAGCTAGTGTAAGATCTGATAATTCAAAGGAGATAGGTCTTTAAGTTGCAAAGGACATGATCAAATAACTTGGCCTATGGGTGGTTAGCTGCATGCAGTTGTACTCCATGTTCCTGAAATTTGGCACTGAAGTTTCATGGGGTGGCAGCAATGGCAGGAGTTGGGATTTAGAATGATTTTTGAAACCTGTTAAATTTTGCTCCAGTCAATTTACTGAAATATGAAAATTATTTTGGTCTGATAGCATTATTGATTTTTGTTGTCTTAAAGTTTACTTGATATTAAAAATAAGCTTTCAATTATAATCCAATTATTTCTGAGCATGCTATCAAAATACTTTTCCTTTTCATATACATGTTAGAGAAATTAGTTCCTGTTTTCTAAAAGTAATGAAATCATATCCCATTGTTGCAGTTCTTAGCTTAAAGACTTTGTGTATCTGGGCTGGGGATGTGGCTCAAGCGGTAGCGCGCTCGCCTGGCATGCGTGCGGCCCGGATTCGATCCTCAGCACCACATACCAACAAAAGATGTTGTGTCCGCTGAGAACTAAAAAATAAATAAATACATATTAAAATTCTCTCTCTCTCTCCCTCTCTGTCTCTCTCTCACTCTCTCTTTAAAAAAAAAAAAAAAGACTTTGTGTATCTGTATTAAATTTTTAGTAAACTTAGCAAGTGTCTCCCCAGGGCTATAGTGTCTGTGATTGATGGTTTCATTGGTTTAATATCAACCTGTCTGTGGCCACAGATTCTCTTCACTTACCTGCCTCTGCCTTCTGCTGCTTCTCAATCTTCTCCAGGCGCCCTAGCAAGGAGTCAATTTTAGTTTTGATCTGGGTTAGTTCTTTCTTGATTGTCTGTAGCTCGTCTGATTTCACTAGAAGGGGAAGAAGGAAAAGAAAACAACAGAACATCAAACGTGCCACTGTTCGATTAGAACACAACTCAAGGCACTCCACATTTTCACAAGACAGTCAAGTTACACAGGATACTTTTCAATTTTATCAGCTCCTGGAATAGTGGAAAACAGTGCCATTTATAAATGGGGATTCTCAGTGTCATAAGTAATTGATCCTGAAACTTTGAGGTTATACAAAGGGATAACAAAATCTAGAATATTTTATAAAATAACTAAATAATGCCAAAATCAGTTCTGGAGAATAGGAGAAAAAATCTGTATTGCATGGTAGATTTGGCATAAGGAATGTTTAAATTATCACCGGTATGCTAATACTACTTTGAGGCATTACATTGTAATATATATTTCTGCAATCAATGATATTTTAAATCCAGCTCTTTGGGTATTGATTGAAACCAAGATAGAACATTAATCCTCTAAGGAAAATGTCATAGATGCTAAAGAACTCTTTAATTCTAATTTGCTTCTTTCCCCATTCTTTCTTCTAAAAATCAGGCAATGAATAGGTTATGCACAAGGTTTTTAAGTCCTGGGGCTTGATGGAAAGAAAATCCACAAAAATTCACATTGACATATATAGCATTAGTTCCTATTCTAGATTTTTGGTGTTTTGTCTGGCTTCAAAGACAGAGAATGGGGACTAACATAAGATTGACAACTTCTCATTTGGCCAAGTGCGGTTGTTAAAAATGGTAACATTCTCTCATTGCAAAGTATAATAATGATTTTATAAAGCAAAAGACAATCTCATATTTAAAGGATAATTACATTTTTATAAACAACAATAATTATTTATTAACATTATTAATAAAAATATTTATATTAAATTGCATTGTCTTTATTTTGGTTTTCTGAGAATAATGGGCAATTTCACCAGGAGTCTATAGTAATCAGAGATGGAAGATTTTAAAGTTATGACTATTGTAGAACAACACCTGCCTCTGAGCTTTCATTTAGTGGATTATAATGATCTCACAAAGATATTACCCAGTAAAGCAATTAGTGTTTAGCTTGATTGTCAAGTCTTCAGGAATTCTGAAAGCCAAAACCCAAAGAAAATATAATCTATTTGCTTGAAATAAAGATTTGTCAATTAAAAATATGTGAAATAGTATAGGTGATCTATTATGCATCATACAATTTAGTCTCAAAAGGAGGAACAAATGTTTTCCAATATAAAAATGAGAAAATGCTTTCTGTTTTAAATTTTGATTTTTTTTGTTAAAAAAGCAGTTTTTAATTTTTGATGCAAAGTAGTTTACAAAAGCAAAACTGCAAAAATAAGAGCCCTCCGGAATATTTCTATTTATGTAGTACCAAAGTGAAATAAAACACAGTTTAAAATAGAGAATCACTCTTTATGTCAATTATTTCAAAGATATCAAAATACCATTGTTGAATTGCAGCTAAATTTGAAAAACATCATCTGTCACAGTTGCAAATCGATCCTGCTTTGAAGAATGATACTCATTTCCTTTGATGGAAGTATATCATGTAGTTTTACTTAAACTTATCAAATTTAATAGAAAACATTTTATCTTATAACAGATTTCAATTTAGGAAAATTGAAACTGGCTGGAAACTACCAGAATATATTTCTAAGGGAGTGGAACCACTTCTCAGCCCAGGAACATAGTTAACTAATTTTAATTGATTTATCTCTCTCGAAAAGCACAAACTAATAAATCACCAATATTCCACATTACAGAAACTGTACTAGAAAACAGCAAGAATTCTGGACTCTAGATCTAGTAGGAACTCATAAGTGCCCAGGCAGCCAAGGTTTGGGTTTTGACTCATGTCTAGGACTCTAGGAAGACTTTTTTAAGATCAGAGACAGGTTATCATAAAATTGTGGTCTAAGTAGGTAATGCTACTCAAACTTATAAGGAAATCATCTCCTTTTCAAACAAGGGAATTAGGAGAGGTCTGTCGGTTCTTTCCTGACTCTTACCCAAAAAAGTTACTGAGATGAGTCTCCAGGTCTGCAGAATGCCCAGCTCCTTTCTTGGAATGGAGATCAACAACCACTTATCAAGGTCCAGAAAAGTGGGCTTTAGAAGCAGTCTTGGCTGCTTCTCCTGGAAGTTGGCTCCTTATTGCACTTCAGTATCTCAGTGCTGCCCTTGAAAGAAGGTCTGTACCTTACTTGATCCCCAGTTGGCTGCAGTTCTCTTTCTACTCTTCTTTATTTGGAGGTCTGTTTGTTTTTTTTTGTGATTACACCTGGATTCCAGATGGAATTCCTGGAATAGGTCATCTCTATGCCTGATGTACTGCTCTTTCTAACTTGTCTGTGCTTTCCTTTTCATTTACCCACTGCACAGTGGACTACATTAAGTCATTGACTGTTTTTACTTCATGAAAATAGGTGTACATTTTACAACTATATATTTCTAAACTTAGAATTTTAAAAGTCTTTGCAACTTTGCTTTCTGATATTTTCCTCCCAAAATAAATGTTCAGGATTAAGGAGATCCTAGGTCCAACACAGTCCTATCCACTTTTATTGCACTCTTGATTGGGATTCCGCCTTTGGTTCATTCGCCTGGTCTATTGCATAGAACTCTCAAAGAAATACTCATAAATAAGGTTTTGTTTTTTAAGAGGAGATTTCTGGAATATCTCCATTTTCTATAGAAAAAGATGATAAGCACAAGTCAACTAAATTATTTAAACTTGGATTCAAGGCCTGCTCAAAACAAATCTTTCATTTTTTAAAAAGTTGTTCTTTTTGGATATACATGACAGCAGAGTGTGTTTTGACATATTAACAAATCCTTCATTTGAACAGAACTGCTCAGTATTCCATCAAATGTTATATAGAACCAGATCAACTAGTTTACATCTATGTTCCCAGGGGAAATCAATTGTAAACAATCAGGTTCAGTTAAGTGCGGGAAGCCATCCGTGAAATACATGAGGATCTTCTCTCGCCCTGAAGCCAAGGAGCATTAGGCCTGGTACTGTGAACTATCTGTGGCTCTTCCACGGCATCAGATTGCCCAATGCACATGACCTTTCTCTTTGCTCTGCTAGAAAGGTTCCTCATAGTAGCTCTGGAGATGGGCGTAACCACTGAAAAGCCCACCTTAAGCCTTTTTTTGGAGAAGAACATTCTGTAGAATCTCTCTCATGTTTTCCCATATAAATAGAGCAGGTGTGGGCTCCATTTTGTCTAGAAACTCCATCCATACTATCAGCTTGCCTGTCCTGCCCCTGCTTTTGCAATTACTTTCTGTGTTCTATGTTTTTTTTTTTGTTTGTTTTGTTTTGTTTTACCATTTTATTTCTCTTAGTTTTTATTTATCAGCCAGCCCATTCCACTAAGGGGAACTCCATTCCCATCGGAGTTAAGTGTCTTCATCTCTTTAACTTCTCCCCTGTACCTTACAGGATCATTATAAGAATTTAATAAGACAATAAAGCTAATACCTAGTGCCACATCAAGACCACCATTAGGTTCAATAAATGATGGAAGCAGAAACTATTATTATTTGTGTTATTGTTATTTTGTATTATTTATACTATTATATAAACATGCCATCCCAGCAATGACTATTTCTCTCTTCCAAAAGGTGTCTATGAAAATCCTACTCATCTTTCAGGACTGAGTACGACTTTCCCTTCTTATGAATACTACTTAGGAATGCTTTCCCTTCTTATGCACACCTATTGCTTGTTGACTTTTCTATCATCTATTTTTCATGTTAAATCATAACTTCTTTGAGTAAAGCTCTCCTGATCAGGCATTCATGAATCTCAGAAGTCATGCTGTATGTGTTTTGATAAGTCCTTCTCCTTTTATTGATTAGTGAGGCTCCTGATGCTGATCATGAGATCCTGGGCTTGAAGTCTGTTTTCCTTTATTTAAAACTGACATTAACAGGTTTAAGAAGAGCTCAATCAGAAGAGTGCTTCATGAAAACTTTATCTTTTGATAATAAGCCAGATTGCTGAAAAATTATTCCTGAACAATACAGTTTTTTTTCAAATTTCAGATGGTATCATGTTTTTAAAAGAAGGAATTTGGGGTCATTCATCTAAAACAGGACACATTAATGGATTGACCTCATCATAGATGCTTTAGAACCAAAATCCCTTGCGTGGAAATAGTGCATCCAATTCTCTCTTTTCTCTTATTTCATTCTTGATAGAACTTAGTCCAGTATCTTGAACACAATAAGCAATTAATAAAGACCAGGAAGTTTGTAGTTATATGTATGTGTAGCTAAGGTCCTCATGCCAGTTTCAAACAGAGCAACACATTTTATTGAAAGCTCTGTGTATGTGCCAGGGCCTAAATTCACAAGACACTCATTCTAAGAGTTGATTGACTAAAGGACAGACAGGTGACCCGATAGGAAATTCAAAAGTAAATTCATCATGGAACTATGTCTTTATAACACAGTGCCTCAGAAATAGTCTGATGAAAGAAAATGTAAAGAAAACATGCCTCTGGCAAGCAACGCTTTGTATTTTTCCTCCAATTTCACTTGAATTCTCCAAAATCCATAAACCTCATCTTTAAGGATACATTGCATAGAGTATAGTGCCTTCATTTTTACAGAGTTTTAAATAGAGTCAGGAATATTATTTGTAAGAACAAGATTGCATATTTTTAATCAGCTTGCTATTAGACATTTTTTCTAATAGTTAAAGCCCACTGATGCAGACAAACTAGCAGTTGGGAAAAGTTAGGTGCAATTATTGAAGATCATGAATTTTATAATTTAAACATTATGAATTTGAGAATTTGAGAAAATTGCTTTACTGCTCAGTCATCTCTAAACTACTGTCTCTTTCCATCTTCTGCTGGTCTTTCCAATTATCTGAGGCTCTGGTCACAATTATTGCTCACTCCTTAAAAGTAGTATGTGGTTTCAGACAACTATACATTATTGATCTGATCCATACTCTCATCTCCTCCATCTGGAAAACGTCATTTCACCTTTTAG